TATATATATATATATATAAGTATATATATATATATATATATATATATATATAAGTATATATAAGTATATATACAGGCACTCACCTCAGATCACATAGTCAATTAGTGAAAGCATTCCAAATTATTTTCCACCTATAACTGTTCAGAAAAAATTCTTTACTATTGCTTACCAATTTATAATTCTGCATTATAATTTCAAGTCGTGAGTGAACGACTATATATATAACAATTTGAACACGCTTTCAATGGGTATTATAATATACAATAAGCAGAAACATGTTAGTTAAAAAAATTAAAAACAAAAAGCAGAATTGACTACAAATTAAACTTTAAAGTTTGAATCAAAAAAGAATTTATTTTTTGTACAGGATTTTAAAAAATATAATAATTTGAATTCGTAAGTGATTTTGTTTATATTGTTATATTGAAATGAAACAATGATCCTTGACGTATGTACAGTTATTAAGCTATCAATCAGAAATTACATATACAATTTCATTAGGTCTTTATGTATGCATACGTATGTATATAAGCTAAAGCACTTTTAGTGTTGAGTGTAAACTGGAAGATTGTGTTTCCCGGTACATTAGAGATATTACTACATACCTAAATAAGTATAGCTTTTTCTTAATTACTTGATGCTTAAGACACACATTTATCATAATTTATGTTTGCATATCATTCGCCCTTACTAAAGACCTATCCGTTATGAATGAAAATTGCGAGGCATGTGTAAATAGTTAACTAATTCGTATTCGTCGTTAAAACGTCTTTAAACGTCTTTGATATTACGATCTTCGAATGTATTTATAAATAATGGTACGTCGATGGGCAAACATACATACATGGACATACATATATGACATGTAAATAAAATCTAAAAAGCCTAATTAATAAACCACTTACATGTAGATATATGTACGGGTGTATCTTACTGGACATTTCTTAAAACATAATTATCTGACTTTTCCGCTCTCTTCAACGCCTGTCCATGTGTAAGCTGACATGCATGCATACACGCATGTACATATATGTACACATATATCTGTATGCGCCGCCAGTATGCATGCGTATACATCGTATGTACATACATATGTATGTAAATATTTGCCTACACATGCATCCGCATGTATACATGTACATATATGCACTCAGGCATCGTATTCAGCATGCATTCATGCGCGCTTGTACATTTTTGTATATGCCACCATGCGTGTACAGCGTATGAATGCCATAAACGCGCATGTTAGCATATTTTTGTAGGCATCTGTTTTTTAATATGTGCTTGATTGAATACATGTGCCTACATCACATTTGTATGTATGTTATTCAATGTTAATGTTAAAATCAACTGATCAAATTTAAAAAAAACGCTAACAATTGAACTCAATCACAAAAATGTTTAAATCATGTCAAACAAAGAGAATTAAAATAATTATAAACCAAATAATAGTAATGATAATAATAATAATAGTAGTAGTAATAATATAATTCCTAATTCCGCCGGGGCAATCCATGTGATTTCGCAAATCTTACCAGTGATGTGATTGCGATTGAATAGTTTTTGCATTAGGTCTCGATTCGCCGACGAAGTCTTTCGGCCAGCCTCTGGCATATCATTGTCGTTGTCTTTCACGGATACGGCGATGTCTCCAGCCAAGTGGCCCACCGCAGCAGCTGTAGCCGGTCGTCCATCTGCCGGCGAATCATCTGCAGTGAGCACCGATTCTCTCGGATCGTAGTTTATTAAGCAATTGTTCTCATCGTCCACTTGTCCAGTTGAGGCGGTGGGCGCAATATTATTGCTCGCATTCGATACGACGTGCTGCAGTAAAAATGCCTTTGAGAGGCTGTAGAAGCGCCTCTCTCTGTCCCTATCGCACTCGTTGTCGTTGTCGCTGCCGCTGGCATTACTGTGGGCATAGAACTCGCTGGTTTGCTCAAGCAGGTTTTTCATCTTGCAGATGTGCTCCACGGTGAATGCATGCTTATGCATATTCACCTGTGGTATTTGGCACAATTGGCAATCTTGTAGCTGGTCATTGCTTTCTTGACTCAATGCTAGAGTCTTGGTTGACTTGATGTCAGCCCCACCAGTAAATCCATTATTGCTGTTATTGCTGTTGTTGCCAACCTCCTTGCCACTAGATCCGTCAAAACTGTTGTTATCATCCGAAATGTGCGCGTATTGTCGTTGATTCCTCGATTTCTTATCTTTAGCTCGAGAGTTCTGAAACCAAACCTGAGAGTACATTTCAAAGGAAGTTGAATTAATAACTATGAACATTTACTAAGCTATTTTGCAAATAAAATTACTGCTTAGTCCCATTGTGTAGAATTATGTTCTATACTCTAAGCTTACACAAACTCGGAGCAGCCAGTAAAAAAAAAAAAAAAATTAAAGAAAAAAAAAGAAATACATTCACCTGGTACTTAAATTAAATAGGCCGTAACGGTCGAGTACATTATTAATTTAAATTTAAAACATTTTCTAATAAAAATTTAAAACTTTTCTTAATAAAAGAAAGTCGATATTAACTAAAAAAATTTGTAGGTACGCAAAGTATCAACCATGGCCTTGGGGCTTACTATGGCAAATTAATTTTTGATGAACTATTGTTTTAGCAGGTCTTTTTTTATTTCAGAGCGCAGAACGACTTTCGTATGCATATAGATTTATAAAATGATCATTTTAGTTAATAGGGCTTCTTGCTTGAGCACTTCGCGACTCCAACTGATCGGACACACGGACATTATCGTCCTATGGTCATTATACACGGATTATACAAGGATTTGGGTAAACTTTGAATTAAATTATTATTATTTGCTTAGTCTTATTTCAAAATTGAAAATCTTACTCCAATGTACCCGATATAAAATAGCAGATAGATGTTCTTCTTCGTTCTCCCATGGATATTGTGAGGCTGTACATAATTTTTATTTGGTTTGATCATTAACTTTTTAACAAAACATTTTATTTGAGGCTCGAATTTTAGTGCACAGTTCGCAGTTCTGTTTTCAGTTTTCACTAAAAAATAAATAAAAGTAAAATAAAGCAAAAAGAAACGTTAATAAACTATGAAAGTCAAAATTTAAAATAAACTATGAAAATACCGGAGAAACGAATGGTGGGGTTGCGAGCCAAAAGTAGAGTAAATCAAGACAAGTTCGGGAGTCGGCACCAGAATTTATAATATGCGATTTTGCTGAGAAGAACTGGACTGGCCTTAATTGAGGCGATTTCAGTTGGACATTTTGGCATCCATCCCCGTAAGTATAGGGAAATAGTCGCAATGCTTTTCGGGAAAAGCAAACATCAATCGCGACCCATAATGACTAACTTGTGTAGGTATATCGGAATTTTGACTTACTTGTACAACACGTTTTTTAAGATTGACTTTTTTGGAAATCTCCTCAAGCATTTTACGGCTGGGATTGGACTCGGTTTGGTAGCACTCGTACAGAAAATTCAGTTGATCTGGAAGTATTGTTGTTCTCAGCCGTTTGTTCTGTTTGGAAGGCGCGCTGAGCTGCACTGATGTCGTGTCCAGGGGCAAACAATCATTGGACTTAATACTCTCAACTCTAGGACTTGGATTTTCGTCGTCGTTGAATGTTAGCATTTGCGAATGGTTCTCAATCATTGTTGCGTCGAGGAAGTCTTCAAGGTTTTGAAAATACTGCGGCTTGTCGTTGAGCGATTTCTGCTTGTCCCCATTGATGGGCTCATTCGACTTGTTCAGTTGTTCCAAGGCCACGTCACGACGGTCAATGACATCATTTTCCTTCATATCTCTACTCAGCATGCGTTGAGCTTCGTTGATGCTTATGTTGATATGGTTGTTATTAAGCTTCTCGTCGGGTGGCAGCAGATCATTCGCATCAGCTGGACAGCCTTGTGTTCCGTCTGGATCGGTTCTATTCTCCTGCTCCTCCTCAATTTGCTCAACCTTAACCTTTTTCTCTTGCAGCTGCTGCTGCTCCTGTAAGCCGATCAATATATTTGGTTCATCCGCCGTCGCGTTCGGCTGCTGCGACGACGGTTGGGACTTGATTTGGGGCGAGGCCGTTAACTGAAAAAACTTCTTAGATTCATTAAGCTGATAGTATTGCAACAGGAATTCGATTGTGGGTTTCTTGCTGGAGGTAAATGACAGTTGCTGATTATGCTGTTTCAATCCATCCTCATTTTTTTGATAGTATTGCAATAAAAAATCATAGCTATTGACCTTCTTCAGTTCGCTTTGTTGATAGAAATTGGTCAAGAACTCTAGCTCCAAGTCCGTTTCATTTCCTTGTCGCTGCTGCTGTAGCTTATGCTGAAGAAGAAATTGTTGTTTAATCTCTGCGCTGGCTTCATTCTGCATAAAGTATTGATATAGGAACTCGTGTTTCTTTTGTATAGTCTCAAACTCTCCAATTGATATCTCCTCAGCATTTGAAGAGCTTTCAGAGCATTTTCTTTTCTTTGCTGGCGGCTGTTGTAATTTCTGCTGCTGTTGCTGCTGTGCCGCTTGTTGCAGCCCCTGTAATATACTCCCAAAAGGACCATAAGCTGCTTCAGACTGGCTGGCCGATGGCTGATTGCTGCTATTAGGAAACAGAGCCGGGCTCATTAAGTGCATGAGCTGATGCTCACGCAGTAACTCAAATTGATTGAACTGCATTTCGCATTTTTCACAATCAAATTTTGGCAAACGTTGCTGGTCCAGACTATTGCTGCGCTCCCTCTGCGGCGGCGTTGGTGTCGTCGATGGACTAAAGTCAGTTAATGATGAGCCCTTGCTAAATAAATGTTGCGGCGATGGAGATGATCCAAATGGCTGTGAGCTCGAATGTGCCGAGTGGACTGCTGCTGCTGCAGCAGCTACAGCAACAGCAGCCGCCACATTTTGACCCAGGCTTCCCGTTGCCTGGTGATTATGTATATCCATAGAGGAATTGGAGTCCTCTGAACTAAGATTGTGAGCGATTTGCGCAGCTGCAATTTGTGCCTTGGCCGATTTCTTGTTGTTTTCCTCCTTGAAGCAGTGATTCTTCTGATGGCGTATCAGTTCATAGTAGCGCTGGAATATCAGACTGCATTTCTTGCAGGCGTAGTTGATGTTTTGCTTCTTAGTTTCCTCGCTTTCATACAGGGAATTGTTCGGCTGATTCTCGTAGATTTTGCGCTGCTTCTGTCGTGCGTTTTGGAACCACACAACAATTACCCGTGGCGACAGCAGCAGCAGCTTGCTTAGATACTCCAAGTCACTGTCCTTTGGATACGAGTTGTTCTCAAAAAACTCTTGCAGTACCTTGATTTGATAGTCCGTGAAGCGCGTGCGATTCGCGCGCTTCCCACCGGATGTTGAGGACGAAGAGTTCGATGAGTTCGACGAATTGCTCTCCAAGCAAACTGGCGCTGTCGGCAAAGCCCGCTCGCCTGACGATGAGCTCGTTCCCGCTAACTTCTCAAATGATTTACCGGATATCTGCAATTTCTTCGGCGGTCCCATATTACTGCCAATGTTCTCCAGCTGTTGACTGAGTAAATCGTTCATGTTACTGTATAAATTGCCGGCTGCAATGCTATTCGGAGTCGGCGGTCTTGATAGTACATCCGAACTTCCACTCTCCGACTTAGTTTCAAAGCAATTCGTTTGCTGCTGCTGCTGTTGGCTTTGATGGTGCCCGGCTGAAAGCTGCATTGGGTTATCATGCATGTCCATATTTTGATGTGGCACCAGCGCCTCTGTTGTCTCCATTTGTTGCTGTTGGTTCAGAAACTGAAACACCTGCTGTTGCTGCTCCTGCTGATGCTGATTCTGCTTCAGCTGGCATTGGCTTTTGTGAAAGAAATCAAGATTGTCGTCGTGCGGCTCTGATTTGATTTGCACCTCTAATGGTAATGCGTTTTCTTGCTTGGCTACCGGCTGAGTGTGAATCATGTCAACAACTTGCGCTTTAAAAAAATCACCTATGTTGCTGTTGCTACTCGGATTTGTTGCAGTTGCAGTTGCATTTTCCGTTGCAGTTGCCGCTGGCAACGATGTGGTTGCAATTAGGTTGTTGCTGGCTGCAGCTGCAAGTCCTACAGCTGCCGCTGAAGCTGGTGCCACTGGAGCATCCGCTGGAACTAATGAGGTCACCTTTGTTTGCCCAGTACGTTCATATTCCTCTAGATTAAGAGTAGTCGATGGCGGATTATTAAAGTTGTATGGCGAGTCCTTGTTGCGCTGTCGTTCCTTAAACAACGTGTTGCGGAACCAGTGCTTAACAACCTGCAAAAGTATTCATTAATATCTTATTAGCTCTCGCTCTCTGACTCTCTCTATACCTTCATTGGCAGATTTGCCTTCTGGGACATTTCCATAATGCTCTCCTCGCTGGGCGAATTGTTTATGTCGAAATGAGCTCTCAATATCTTTAGTTGGTCGTCCGTGATGCGTGTGCGAGCGCGCTTCTGATTGCTACTCAGTTGCTGCTAGGTGAAAGTTGAGTTCTAATTAACTTATCTCGAATGGGACTTGCGGGTTCGTTTGGGCCTCACCTGAGTGTTGTTGGGTGGAATTAGGTTGATGCTGGCTGCATCCGTTGCCAGGCTGCCGCCTGCTGTAGTGCCTGAGCTCTTTGACTGGCGCTCGGAGCTGCCAGTTACAGCTGATGCGCCGGAGCCAATGACATTGTTCTGGACTCCACCCACTCCAGCTGCTGCTGCTGCTCCAGCGGCTCCAGCTGTATCATTACCACCAAATATCAACGGCGGTGCCAGGTTCATAAAGTTCAGTGACATCAAGTGGTGAAATTGCATCAGGTTGAGCATGTCCACCGGATTCATAGGCATCCCTGAGCCCGCTGCTGCAACATTCAATTGTTGTTGTATTTGTTGCAAGCTCTGTATACTCTGAAGTCCTTGAAAAGACTGCGGATTGATGTTAACGAATGGAGCTGACTGCTGCTGCTGATGATGAGGATAAGCCTTGTCTTGCTGCGCTGGCAGCTGCAACTGTGGATGATGCAGCTCACCACTTGAGATCGCTAATTGCTGGTCATCCGGTGCCTCTTGCTGCTGCTGTTGCTGTTTAAGCAGCGCAGCAGTTAGCACTGCAAAGTGTTGATGCTGCTCCGTTGACGAAGGCTCATCCTGCGCGTTTGGAGACATTAACTGAGAGCTCGAAGGTGCTTCCTTCGCAACTGCGTCTAGTGGAAATGGCGAGGCTGTGTGCTGCGGCGATTGCTTTTCTCCAGTCTCACTCGCTTTGGCAACTGAACAATATAAAAAATGCAATCAAATTCGGTACACATATTCACTTTCACATAGGCTCATTTTCCTACTGGGAATAATATTTTGTACAGGGCTCGACTGGAAGATATCCTGAGCTGCTTGAAGGGCAAGTGGGAGCAATCGCACAGAAGTGTGTTCACACAGCCTGTTCAGGCAAGTAGACAAATATACCAAGAGAATCTAGTCATTTTGCTCTGTTGGTCTTAATATGATCAATGGGTAAAGCCTTCAAGTCTTTTCTGGCCTGTAGAGCTGCCTGACTAAGTGGCACGTTTTCAGTATCAGATTGTATTAGATCGATTTTAACAAACTTGCTTGTACATTTTGACATACGGACAGTCGTACGGATAGACAGGCTAGATACTTTTCCTTATCAAGAATAAATGTTGGAGCGACCGCGGCTGATTCTGCCTTTTCCCACACCCAAAAGTTCTATTATGGATGGATTCGCATCTTCGGAGAACTTACCTGTTTCATTAGCTCGTGTGGTAGTAAAATCAAAAACATTTGACTCGGCTGGTGCTTTATCCATCCCGCTGGCGCCATGCAACAGACTGGGCGACATGTCCCTAGGACTGCTGCTCGTGACGGGCGAGCATTCGGCCGGGTGCGCCTGCTCCATGTGCTTCTGCAATGCCTGAGTGCTGCGGAAATTGCGCTGGCACAGCGAGCACTTGGTTGCATCTCGCATGCTGTGGTAGAGCATGTGAGCGGTGAGCTTTTCCTGCGTCTTAAAAGCCAGGGAACACTGTTTGCAGCGGTACTTGTAGACGTGCCGCTCCGAGATGACCAGACTCATGTGCGAGTCCTTGAAGTGCCCAGTCATTGCGGACAAGCTGCCAAAGCTCATATAGCATGGCCGATTGCCATGGTTAACAAGCAGACAAAGGTATTCGCCGCTTTGCATTGGATAATGCTGCGCCTGCTGCGCGTGTTGCAGCAGCTGCTCTTCGTGCTTGAAAATCGCATCGCACTGCTGGCACGCCAGGCCCTGCTTAACGCCCGTTGAGACAGCTGTGGGTGTGGGCGTGGCATCACTTTTCGCACCTTTGCTGTCCTCAGTTGCCATTGTTGTTGTTGTCGTCGTCGTCAAATCAGTGTCTTTGAGAGGACGCCACGCCTTGCGATTGACCAGCTGCAGGAGTCGAGCGAGTCCGTCTCGCGTCACACTGTGCACGCTCATCAGATGCGTTTCTAGGGATGATTTCTCGTTATATCCGCTCTCCAAGCATAGTGGACATGAGACACCCGATTGAGGCAGCTTCTCGTTCGCGCCCTTTTCGTCTTCCTTGGCACCATCTCCAACAGCTTCGTCGGTATCGTCCAAGCGCTCGCGCTTCATTTCAACGGGACAGTCATCCAAGTCCACTCCGGAGCCAAGTCCATCTGGAGTCGTAGGCGTTGGCGTCGGCGTCGGTGTCGTAGAGGGTGTGACACTACAGCGCTGGACTGCAGCCAGAGCAGCAGCTGCGATTGCTGTTTGAAAGGCTTGCAGCGCAGCCGTGTTTGTCGGTATACTAATATAGTCGTCTATCTCGGAACTAGGATGAAGAGCCTCAATATGTCCCTCCATATCCTTTTTCGTTTGCACAAAATATTCGCAGATGTTACATTTGAAAATAGTCGTCGGCGCACTGTTCGATAATAAGGGGGAAGGGACGCGCGCCTGCGCCTTGCCACCGGAAGTTGCACAGCTGGAGACGGAGGTCGGCGAGAATATATTGGCATCCGTGGATGATCCAAAGCCCATTTCTGTCGCTGCACCAGCTGAAACAGTGGTAGCCAAATTGAGGCCGCAGTCGAGGCTTGAATCTGCAATAGAAGAGACGGAAATCGATACATGGAGGGGAGAAAGGTAATTATTTACATATATATATATATATATATATATATATATATATATATATATATTTTTTTTT